TCCTTTTTTGGCACTCAAAGAGGGTCCTTTTTTACCCGGAGCAGAGCCCTCAGCTCTCATGTCACCCACCACTGACAGGACCTGGCTGCATGACCCTGGCCAGGCACCCACATTGCCCCCTTCTGGCTCGATAGGGGGCAAGACCATAAGGCCAGTCCTCTAGGCTGGAATTCGAGCTGCCGTGAGGAGGGAGTTTGGAGTCCCCGAATGAGCAGGGACCCTGCAGCCAGAGGCCACTCCCCAGCCGACCCAGGGCTTCCCTTTGCTTTCTGATGGGCTTCCAGCTGCGCACCTATAAAGAGAGGGCCTAGGTGGACTCAGAGGCCCCACTAGGGACCGAAGGGCCAGCTCAGGACTCCACATCCCCAGGAGGCAGCCTACTGCTTGCCAGTGAGTGCTCCGCGGGGTGCAGTGGGCAGGCGCCAGCGGGAAGGCAGGCAGCGGGGGTTCACTTTCCCTCTCCTCCCAGTGGGCAGGAGCCCAGAGGGCCTTGGCTCACCCTGAGCTGGTCGTGATGTCAGCGGAAACCCAGAGGCAGAAGGGCCTGCCCAGCCCTGGGTCCGTCATCCATGTAGGGACCAGCTCAGGCCCTCCCAGAGGACACCCTGTGCCTCCCTAGGAAGTGAGACAGAAGCCAAGAGCAGCCAGGGCCTGCTCTGCCTCTCGCCTGCCCGACCTGGGCTCCGTCTCCCATCTGCAAGGATGTCTGGGTGATGGGTGTGTGAGAAGGGCAGAGGCAGAAGGGATACCCCCAGGTGCTCAGCTCCGCCCCGGCCCGCCAGGGGCCCTACCGCCACTCTCTGGGATGTTCCATTGGCCTGGCCAACCCATGCCCCGGGCTCCGTGACTCCGTCTCCCCTGGCAGAGGAGTGGGGTTACCTCTCCCTGTGCTGGAAGATACTCACCCTGCCCTGCTGAGTCACTGCCGGCTCCTCCGCCCTCTCCCCTCTCTCCCCATCAGCCTCCCTCCCTCAGGCTTCTCACAAGCCTTCCCCAGACCTTCTGGGCTCCTCCTTGCAGACAGGGGGCAGAGGACAGAAGCCACCTTCCCCGGGGCCATCCTGCGATGCCATCCCACCCCACTTGCCTGCCATTACAGCCCTGCTGGGAGAGTGGGGGGCCTGGGGATAAGGAGAGCTCGGGCTCAGTACTCACTGGCTGTGGATCTTAGGCCAAGTCACTTAACCCCACCCTCAGCCCTTGGAAGCACTCATCATGCTGAGTATTACTGCCACCTGTCCTCCTGCCCTGTTTCTCCTCTTTGCTAATGTTGTCACCTCTCTCTGGAATGCCACCCTCCCCTCCTACTCCCTATTCTTCCCATTCTACTGTCTTGGGGAGCCTGTCCCACCCCTCCCACAGGACTCCCCACTACAGGGCACTTAGATCTCCTAGGGCCCTTAGCGCAGCCCCCTTGTGCTGCGAGCACCACCCCCAGCAGTAAGCACTCTTGAGGACTGGCCTTGGTATCCCTGGGTGGAACTGGAGTTCAGGGTGTGGAAGCAGGGAGGGCAGGTCTTCGGCACAGCCAGCTCTGAAGGGAGAAAGGGGGCTGCAGAGCCCAGTGTCCTGCACATCCCCATCCAGGCTTCCCGCAGCCTGAGGATGCCACCTCTCCGCACCCCCATTGTCGCAGCTTCTTAGGCCCGTCGTGGCCCTGCGCTGCCTTCGGTGCTGGCCGTCGACCATTGCCTATGCATTTAAGCGAGCAGGTGCGTCGGAAGGGGTACAGAGGCTGTGGTACCAGGAGAAAGGAGGGCAGAGCGAGAGGGCAGAAGGTGGAGGATTCAGAGGGGCTGGGGGAATGAATGCCCGTGGCAAAACGCCAAACCCACCTGGCTGGGGCTGGGCTGGGGCTGCCCGGGCTGGGGCAGTACTCAGGCCTGGGGGACAGGTCAACTCCACAAAGCTTCAGGCAGCAGCTGCTTTATACAGATGAACCTGCTGCATGGCTTGGACCTACGGAGATGCAGGCCCTGCCTGCCAGGAGCTTGGGGTCCTGGTGTATATCAGTAACCAGAGGTGTGGGTGGCGTGCTAGGAGGCCCATGGAACACCAGGCACCAGAGGTGCTGCCTGCACCGCCACTCAGCAGGGATTTTAGAAGGATTTTTGGCCTTAGAATTGCCTGTAATCAAGACTCTTAGCCCACCACGCCACCAGGCTTGCTGGGGGACTCAGACGAGGCCAAGGACTGAAAGGGCTTTGCATTGCAAAGCTCTGAGTTGCCCAGAGAAATTTCTGAGCACTTCCTAATCGCCTGGCTCTGCACTGAAATACTTCGCACAGTGCAGGGTGGTGGATCCCTTCTTTATGGCTTTTTCACCACGGTCTTGTGACTCACCAAGGAGGTTAGACAGACAGCTTGCTAACAATGTAAATCTGGTACAAGGCACCCTTGTGGCACCCCAAGCCCTGCTGATGAGTCAACTCTGACTCACACAGCGCCCCTAGAGGACAGAGTAGAACTGCCCCATAGAGTTTCCTAGGCTGTCAGTCTTTACATAAACAAAGCCCAAACCAAACCCACAGCCTCCAACCAAAACCAAACCAAACTCACTGCCATTGAGTCAGATCCAACTCATAGTGACCCTCCCTCCTTGGGTTTCCTAGGCAGTATCACTACGGAAGTAGATTGCCCAATCTTCCTTCTGAGGAGTTGTTGGTGGGTTTGAACCACCAGCCTTCTAGTTAGCAAATGCCTTAAGCACTACATACGCCACCAGAGCGCACCCACCGCCTCCAGCTGATGCTCATTCACAGAACCCTTAGAGGACAGAGTAGAATCACTTCATAGGTTTTCCAAGGCCATCATGTTTAGAAGCAAAGCCCAACAAACCCCCTGCCAGTGGAGTGGATTCCCACTCACAGTGCCCCTAGAGAACAGAGTGAAACTGCCCATGGGGTTTCCAAGACTGTAAATTTTGATGCAAGCAGACTGCCTCATCTTTCTCCCAGAGTGGCTGGTGGGTTCAAACTGCCAACCTTTTAGTTAGCAGCAAATGCTTTAACCATTGCACCACCAGAACTCCTCTTACGGTGGTGGGGCCATGCAAATAAGGTGTATGGAACCCTAATGATGGGATTGGTCAGTTTTGCCACCCCACTAGGCTTAAAATGAGCCATCCCAGAGGTGGACAAGGGGGGACCTCACTACCACCAAGATGAAGAGCCGAGAGTGGATCATGTCCTTTGGGCCCAAGATTCCTGTGCTGGGAACCTCCTAGACCCAGGAGACGGACAGACACCTGTAGCACCAGAGATGGCGCATGCTGGCGAGGAGCACCAATGGAGAAACAGCAGCAGCAGAGCCAGGAGGCCAGCGTGAGATGGCCCAGTGGGCGTCCCGGCCCAGGGAGCAAAACACTTCCCGTAGGATTTCTGACCCATGGAGCAAGAGAGCTGAGTGCCTTTGGGCACTTGATGAAGGAGGTAAATAGCTAAACACCCATGGAAACTCCCCAAAACTCCACTGCCATCGAGTGGATTCTGACTCAGCAGCTCACATTGGGTTCCCAAGGCTGTAAGTCTTTATGGCAATAGATTGCCCCATCTTCCTTCTGCAGAGCCACCTGGTGGGTTTGAACCATCGACCTTCTGGTTCTCAGTCAAATCTCATAGGCACTGCGCTACCAAAGCACCCAGGGAAGCAGCCATCAAGAAGTCAAACAGCGTACTGCATTGGCTAAATCGGCCACAAAAGGCCTCTCTAAAGTGTTAAAAGGGAGCTCTGATAGCATAGGGGCTAAGGCACTTGACTACTAACTGGAAGGCTGGCAGTTCAAACCCACCAGCCACTCCTCGGAAGGAAGATGGGGCAATCTACTTCCATAGTGATACTGACTCGGAAACCCAAGGAGGGGTGGCTATGAGTTGGGTCCCACTCGATGGCACATAACAACAATAACAACAACAAAGTGTTAAAAAACAAAGTTGTCACCTTGAGGACTCAGGTGTGCCTGACCCAAGCCTTGGTGTTTTCAGTTGCTTCATATCCATGTGAAAGCTGGGCAGTAGATAAAGAAGACCAGAGAAGGATGGATGCCTTTGAATTCAGGTGTTGGAGGCTATTAACTATGCTGTAGACTGCCGGGAGAAGGGCAAAGCTGTCTTGGCAGAAACACAGCCGGAATGCTCCCGAGAAGCGAGGACGGTGGGGTTCATTTCATGCACTTTGGACATGTTGTCAGGGCATCATGCTTGGTGAAGTCGAGGGTCAGTGAAAAAGAGGAGGAGTCAATGGGCTGAGTCAACACAGTGGTTGCAGCATAGGCTGGAACGTGGCAGTGATGGTGAGGGTGGCGCGAGACCAGGCGGTGTTTTGTTCTGTTGTGCGTGGGGTCACAACAGAAGTGACCCGGTGAGTCAGAACCGAGACCACAGCACCTAACAACAACAAACAGCTTTGTAACACTCCCGGAGCCAGAAGCCAGCCTGAGGGGCCAAGGCACGGCCGGGGAGCTGTCCTGACCACAGAACTGCATCCTGAGTCATGTCTGACCCTGAAATGGGACTTGTTACTTCCCTAATAAATCCCATAATCTCTAAGTATGGTCTGTGAGTTCTGTGTGGCCACGGCAATGAATTATCAAACCCGACAGAGAAGTAGAGAGTGCAGTGGGAGGGACGGTTGGCGTCAGAACTGGCAGAGAGGAGAGAGATGAGGCATGTGTGACCTCCGCCTCACAGGAATCAGGCTGACGGTGATACGGAGGCTCCCTTCCTTCTTCCCTAGAGGTCAGTCACCTCCACCAGGCCATGGTCACACTGACAATCGCAGGCAGTTCTCCTGGAGCAGCAGCTGCTGTGGTGGCAGTTTTGCCATGGGGAAACTGAGGCACAGAGTTAAATAACTTGTCCAAGGTCACACCAATGAATGCTGGAGCTAGAGGTCTGGGCTAGAGCTCCCTTATAACTTGTACCACTCCACCCCCCCTCTGAATCTGTTTCCCACCGACACCTGTCAGCCCACCTCAGCTGGGGTGGCTGTGGCCACCCCACCAGGGGGCCTAGACCGGAACGGAGCACCAAGTCGGCACCCACGGAGACTCGCTTGATCCTGCCACCCGAGGGGGAGCAGATGGCTTGGTCCTGGGAGCCAGGACCGGACATGGTGTCTGTCTCCCTCTGCTGGTCCCTTAGGGGACAGCCCAGCCACGACACTCCCGGAGCTGGTGGCACCCACATCGCCCCCAAATGGTGCCTGTGGACGCTGGGGGTGAGGACAGGGCCTGGAGACTCAGGCTAGGCTCCAGTAACAGGAGCACTGGCCCTTCCTCCTCTGGTCCCTGTAGCCAGAGCCTGCCTCTGACGTGGGCGCCAAGAGGTGGTCTGAGGGGGGCCAGGTCGCCCCGATGCCTACTCTACGGGGCAGCAGGCCCCAAACGGCCCCTTCCCCTTGAACTCATGAGTGGAGCTGTCATCCGTGGATTTATCTAAACCCTTTGTGGAGCTATTTCTACTTCCAGCTGAGCCCACATCTTGGGGTAATGAGTTCCATCGGTGTCCCCCACCCCCACCCCCGCCCCCGCTGGGCGAGGCACGCCGCCTTTGATTTGTCCTAAACTTACCTCGCTCCTGCTCCGAGGGGGCCCTGTAACTCCCGCATGCCAGGCTCTGGTGAACAAGCCTGAGCCTCCCCCTCCCAGCCTTCAAATTGTGGGTTTTCAAACTCCACCATCTCCCCGCCTCAGGAGCTCTGGTCTCAGATTTGGCGGTGCACAGGCGAGGTCGGCCAGGGCTCACCTCCTCCTGGCCTGGACTCTTCCTTGCCATTTACTGGAAGGGCCCGGCATGGGGATAGGCACTCAGACAGACGGGGACACTGAGGGCCAGAGCGGCAGAGCCGGCCGGGTGGGGCTGGCAGCAGCCTCCTCCCAAGAGGCTTTCAGGTCTGGACGGGGTCGCTGTGAGTCAGAATCGACTGGCCGGCCACAGGTTGGATTTTCGTTGCATTATCTCACGTTTCCAGGCATCGTCTCTGTCATGTTTTTCCCCCAGGTTCCTCGTGTAGACTTGCCTGGCTCGGTCCAAGCTGATGGTTTATGCTGTCCCCAGTTCTGACCCTAGGGTACCGTGGGAGCCCTTCCAGAAGAGGGGGCCTCAGCAGTAGAAAAAGCAGTGACGGTTGCTGTGTCGAGAGCCAGTGAACAATAACTAAGTCCATCCCCACAGTCGTCCTCTGAGGTGGAGACCATTACTACCAGACAAGCAAACTGTGGCTCAGAGAACACACGCAACGTGTCCTTTTTCATATGCCCTGTAAATGATGGAGGCAGGATTCAGACCCACGCAGGCTGAGCCAAGGGCCCTTCACCACCTTAACAGACAGTGCAGGGTTCACGGCTCCCGTCACTGTTAGATGCCGACCACTCACCTCCGAGTCACGTCCAGCGCCCTCCTCAAATCATCGCTACGCTTGAGCCCGTTGGCGCAGCCACCATGTCTGTCGGTCCATCTCTCTGAGGGTCTTCCTCTCTTTTGCTGACCCTCTACTTGCCAAAAAAAAAAAAAAAAAAAACTCACTGCTGTGGAGTCGATTTGACTCGTAGCAACCCCTCCTTGGGTTTCCGAGGCAGTATCTCTACAGAAGTAGATTTCCGATCTTCCTTCTGAGGAGTGGCTGGTGGGTTTGAACTGTCAGCCTTCTGGTTAGCAGTCAAATGCCTTAGGCACTATGCCACCAGAGCTCCAAGCATGATTAACTTTCTCTAGGGACTAGTCCCTTCTGACAACATGCCTAAAATATGTGAGCTGACGTCTCCACATCCCTCCTTCTAGGGAGCATCCTGGCTGCATTTCTCCCAGGATAGGTTTGTTCTTTCTTCTGGCAGGCCATGGCATCCTCAGTGTTCTTTGGCAACCTCACAATCCAAAGGCATCCATTCTTCTTCAGTCTTCCTTATTCACTGTCCAGTTCTCACATGTGTATGAGGTGATTGAAAACATCATGGCTTGGGTCAGGCACACTTTAGTCCTCAAGGTGACATCTTCACTTTGTAGCACTTTAAACAGGTCTTTTGCAGGCCGATTTGCCTTGTGCAGTGTCGCTCAATTTCCTGACTGCTGCTTCCATGGGTGTTGATTATAGATTGGATAAAGATGAAATACTTGACAACTTTAATCTTTCCTCCATTTACCATGATGTTGTTTATTGGTCCAGTTGTGAGGATCTTCATTTTCTTTATGCTGAGGTGTAATTAAGTGTGGTGAAAGGACACAACCCTGACGCACACCTTTCTTGACTTTAAACCACACAGTATCCTCTTGTTCTGTTAGAGCGACTGCCTCTTGGTCTCTTATAGGTTCCACATGAGCACAATTAAGTGTTTTGAATTCCCATTCTTCAAGTCTCCTAGCCTCTCTGAATCCCATTTTCTTAATTCAACACGTATTTATTAAACCATTACTGTTGTTGTTATGTGCCGTGGAGCCAGACCTGACTCATAGCGACCCCTCCTTGGGTTTCCGAGGCGGTATCACTATGGAAATAGATTGCCTAACCTGCCTTCCGAGGAGTGGCTGGTGGGTTTGAACCGCCAGCCTTCTGGTTAGCAGTCAAGTGCCTTAGGCGCTAAGCTACCAGAGCTCCTAAACCATTACTAGGGTCAAGCATTGTGGTTGGTGGGGTACAGGGAATACATGTGTGCAGAGCTTGCCCACGGGGCTGGGGGCACTGTGTGCCACAGAGGCAGCACGGGAGGGCACCCAGCGCTCCCCACAAACACCATGTCCTCTGTGGGCAGTGTCTTGGGAAGGTAGTGAGATGCTGCCTTCCGGACTCCACCAGGACAAACCGGCATGAACATCCAAACCCCAAACTCCTCTGCCCACCTGCCTTTCCATTGTTCCAACCGGGCAAAACCCCAGCTGGGAGTAAGTCACCTCCACCCGTGTCTGGCTTCAGAGGGTGCCAGGTGGGACAGATGGTGCCTGCTGAGTTATCCTCACCACCACCAACGGCTCATCCCTGAATGCAGGCTTCTGGTCAAGGCACTCTCCATGCCACACCTCCCTCTGATGGCTGCCTCCTCCAGGAAGTCCCCTCTGATGCCTGGCCCAGGTCTCCCTAATGACATGCTCTTTCTCAAGTGTAATTCTGTGTTTACTTTGGTGATTCTCTAATGGGTTTTCCTACTGGATTGTAGCCTGAGCTCAGGAGCCTTGATTCTTGTTCAGCCCCCTCACATCCCCTGCAAGGCTTAGCCTGGCACCCACAGAGCCTCCGCATGGGCCACCCCCTCCACCTGGAATGCGCTTTCCCATTTGGCTGCAGGGCTCCCTCCCTGCCTTCAGGCCTTCTCCCAGGCACTCCCTTCACCCTCCCTCCCTCCCAGCAGTGGTCTTCCCCACGCAGTTGATCACCTCCTGACACAAGAGGGCAAAGGGCATTCACATGTGTGTTTGCTTATCTTCCTCTCTCCACTCAGTAGAGAGCAGAGTGTTGGTCCTGTACTCTGTGGCCTATGCTTAGAAAAGTGCACTCAGCAGGCAAAGAATGAACAACCGACCTTCAAGAGCCCCAAGCGCTGGCGATTCCTGTGGCTTCAAACCTAGCTAGATAGGTGGTGGCCTTGAGAAGTGGTGGTTGAGGAGGAATTTCCCAGCAGTTATTTTAAGTTAGAAATGGTCACCACCGTCCTCCATCCCATACCTGCCCCCCATACCTACACACACACATTTTCCCATGTTGACCTACTGATGGGCGGCCCACCCCTAACGTAAGGATGACAAAGGTTATACAGACTTCAAGTATGAGGGAGTCCGGAGAGAGCATCTCATGAACCCCTCTTTTTAAGGAAACTGAGGCCCAGAGTAGGGCTGGAGCTCCTATTCCCAGGTTTCCTGACTTCCAGTGCAGACCCCATGTCCCCAGTGGATTCCCCGATCCCTACCAGCCTTCCCCTTGCTCTCAAAGGGCCACTGGTCACTCTGTGCCCCTCAGCCCCCACTGTGCCCTCCCTCTGGACCAGGGGTACTTCATGGCCTCTGCCAAGTTCAAGCTGGGACAGGCTCCGCTGCCTTCCAGCATGACAGGGGTTGTTCGACATTTTCTCCCGTTGATCAGGATTCATCTATTGACTCCTTCAAAACTTTCAGTCATGGTAGCCAGACATCATCCATTTCTTCTGGCCTTACAGTAATGGAGGTAGGAGTTTATGGAGGCAATTAACCCTGCAGTCCGTTTCCTTTTCCAGGTCCTGGTCTCCTTCTTCCTAGGCTATTCTAGGTGAATAGAGACCAACTGTCGCATCTTGGGTAGCTGCTCTCAGACTTTGAAGACCCCAGGCGCTACCCACCCAACTAGGAAGGAGAAGAAATTCTAAAAACATTAGGCTGGTTACTGGATAGACCCATGAAGCCATGGCCCCAAGCCTTCAAACCAAGAAAAGTAATCCCAAGAAGTGTTTAATTGTACCGAAGTAGTATCTCTGATGGCTTAGTGGGTAAGGCACTTGGTTGCTAACTAGAAGGTTCAAATCCACCAGCTGCACTGCAGGAGGAAGATGAGGCAATCAATGTACTTCTGTGAAGATTTACAGCCTTGGAAACCCAATGGTGGTCACTATGAGTCAGAGCAATTTGATGGCAGTGGGTTTGGTTTGGGCAAGTAGTATCAATAGGCACAGCACCCCCCTTTTCTTAGGGGGGCTGCTGTTGTTTTTAGGTGCTGTCGAGTCATTTCCGACTCATAGCGACCCCATGCACAGCAGAATGAAATACTGCCCGATCCCGCGCCAGCTCCATGATCCTTGCTATACTTGAGCCCATTGTCACAGCCACCATGTCAATCCATCTC